ATTATGGTATACGGGTAGTAACCCATAAGTGCTCCGTTCTTCTCCTAACTTAAGTCTGAGTCTGAAGAAGCTCAGCACTGTGCACAGCCCCCTGAAATACTTTGGGTAGACTTTTAACTCCAAATCTTGTCCGGGCAGAGTCTTTATGCTACTCTTTTCGATTTCCATCTGACAAGGGACTTTTTTTTACGTGCGTCCGCACAGAACAGAAGAATTATAGAAGTCCAGCCCGGAAAAAATTCCAGACTTTCATTTACACAGAACCTCTAGACTGCAGGCTGGGAATTACCAGAAGTCCAAGCCCACGTGAACAAATTCCAGCTGTCCTTAAAGACAGCAGGGATTGAACCCATTACCCACAAACCTGATGGTCTGTAATACTCGAGGCTCTGCCCATACCGATGCCTCGAGAGAACTTTAAATTAGTACTAGCGGACACCATGCCATAGAGAAATTATGTATCAGACACAAGTCCTCACACCCCTTATGTAAAGAAAATCACTTTTTACATCTGATTATTCCTTACATATTTTCTTTCGTCTAGATATGGTATCATATTTGTTTACGATTCATCACACTATTACTCTTTCTATTATTATAAATTTTTTTTTTTTACTAAACAACAATGGGGCCCTTAAAGGCCCTACGGTGTTTTCTTCCTCTGCGCCCCTAATACACATCTATAAGCTTACGTCAACACAAATACAAGGGCAATCACACCGTGCCTATTTGTCTGCCCTGTCGAATATCCCAGGTTGTGGAGAGGCATGATCGTTCATGTCAGTCAGCAAAGCTCACAATGATGATAATGACGTCTAGGAAATGATCTGGGAATAAAAAAGTGGCTTCTAGATTATGACCAAATGACCCACTGTGTGACCTTGGATGGAGTTAGCACAGTATGACTAGTCTAGACGGGAACTTGAGTCCAACAAATGCACTCTTTCAGTCCAACAAGAGCATTGCTGATCCAGCACTGAAGCAAAAATATTGACAACAAAAAGGTCATTCCGGCGACATACATGTTATCCACAACAAAGAAGGCTGCGTGGTCTCGAGGCATGGTGTCCGCCTTGAGTGCTTGAGCTTCCGGGTTCAATCCCTGGTAAGGACTCGGATTTTTATGCGAGGACTTAGACATTTTGTAATTCTCCCTGGTCTCTGGGTAGTGAGATCGGACGCCCGTGTGAATTGTTGCGCACGGAAAAAAATCCCTCGGCAGTTGGGAATCGAAGAAGTAGCCTAACGACGCTGCCCGGGGAAAATGTGGAGTTAAAAATCTTACCAAAGTATTTCAGAATCCTCGCTAATGCTACAGATCCTGTGCACTGTGGTGAGCTTCTTCGAAATCAGATTTGAGTTAGAAGAAGAACGGAGCGCTTATTGGTTACTACCAGTGTATTGATCCGTTGTTCAAACTCCAAACTTCAAAATTCACAACAATCTTGTAATAACTTTAACTAAATTTGAAAAAAAATTGCAGATGTTGATGATCTTGCTTGCGTGTATGCTGCTCTCATCTTAGCTGACGATTAAGTAGCAATCACTGGTGAAAAGATTTCAAACCCACCCAAGGCAGATGCAATCTCTGTTGAGCCGTATCGTATCGTATCGTAAAAAATCAAACAAAACTTCCAAGCTTAGGCCTTTTTTAGCCCACTGAGGGCCTGCTTCATCAAGGACGGTTTCTATCTGAACTTGATTTTTGGGTCTGTGTGGCGATCAGTTTTTAGTTTTTGGTAATTGGCAACATGTCCGACGTGGTCTGGCTTAGCAACGGGCTGTTTTTCCTGGCGTTCGGAGGGAAGTCCGTTAGTCCCAAAAATTACTAACAGAGTGCCTTTGGCGGCCTGGAACAGGAATAAGGGAATCTCCTGTGGGTCCAGTGCTGGCGTTCTCTGCATATGACATCTCCTGCTGGTACCTCTTGTCGGTGAGCTGGCTTCTTGACTGTCTGGCTTTTCGGTTGACTGTTTCTTGCGTTTTGTAGGGGAGTCTGCTAGTCCTGAAAAGGACTAGAAAAAGACTAGCAGATTGCCTGGGGCGGTGCTGGAACAGGTGGGCGGGACTTCTGTGAGGTGGTTCTGGTTGTTCGAAAAGGTGGCAATGCCTCTTCTAATAGTGGTGGTGTTCTTGTCTGCCTCGCTTTTACTGTTTGGGCCTTTGTCTTGTGTTCCACTCCTCCTGCTTCTCTGCTTCATCATCGGATGTTAGTCTCGGTGCCTCTTTTGATCTTTAATCTCTCAGTTTGCGCTAGGCTGTGTTCGCTTCTTTGCGTCCGTTGTCCATATCACGTCTTGTTCTGAGTTCAGTAAGAGTTTGGAGTTGCTATTCTTCCTGCTTTTCCTTGTCGAAGATTATTTCCACTAAGAATCCTTCCGCATCCAGCCTGTGTGGGAACATCTTTTTGTTCGCGCCTGGGAGCAGCTCTAGAAAGTCGGCCTCCGTGTTTTCAAGGCTTTCAGCTCCTGCTTCTGTAGCTTATTTTTGCAGTGGGTGGTGACTGAAAGGCTGTTGATCGCAGCCGCCGTTGATTTGCTTTACGCCACGATAGGTGCGGCTTGGGGTGATGGCGCCACGAAAGGAGCGGCTTTGGGTGATGGCGCCACGAAAGG